GCGACGTCTGCAGGCACGACGTCGTCACGGTGAACTACGAGAGCTTCCACCTCGCGATGGCCGCGCTCGCGCGGAGGTGCGTTCTGTACACTGGTCCCCATACGACCGCGTTCGCGTGGTGAACGCCGATCCTTAAGGACTTTCCCCGGCGCGTCTCTCCGCCCACCCCTCGCTTTCAATCCCCGCCTTCGACGCCTTTCAACTCCAACTGACGCCTATGGACTGCCGCGATGGCCGCTCGCGCGCAGACGCGACGAGATCCGCGAGGAGAAGCGGCGCGAGAGAGAGGAGAAGGACGGGACGAAGCGACGGACGCTGAGCGACGGCACGACGGTGTCGGCGACCCCGAGCGCCGTCGCGGACGCCGAGAGCGACAGAAAGTCGCCGCGATCCCCGCGCGGGGACGGCGCGTCGGTAAAGCAGTTTGGGATCGTCGCGCGCCTCAGCGCGCGACTGCGACGATTCTCCCTCCGGAGTATGTACGCGCGGAAAGATCACCGCGACGGCGGCGGCGAGACCGCGCCGCGGACGCCGACCGAGCGCGCGCGCCGTCCCCCCCACTCCCACTCCACGATGCGAGCCGCGGTGTGGGATCTGATGGACAACCCAGGAAGCAGCGAGAGGGCGGCGGCGGTGGCGGCGTTCGTGCTCTTCCTCATCGTCTACTCCACCGTGACGTTTTGCGTCGAGACGGTGCACGGGGTGTACGACGATAATCTCCCGTACGCGTCGTTTTGGTACGTGAGCGAGGCGATATGCATCGCGTTCTTCACGATAGAAATCGCGCTGAGGGTGTGGGCGTGCCCGGACCGGAAGAAGTTTTTTCAAAACGTGCTGAACCTGGTGGACGTCGTCGCCGTCGTGCCGTTTTACGTGGACCTCGTCGTCGCCGCCTCGGGGGGCGACGAAGAAGTCGTCGGGCTCAGCGTCGTGCGCGTCGTCAGGCTCGTGCGCGTGTTTCGGCTGCTTAAGCTCGGCGGCGGCGCGCTCGCGATGTTCGGACGGACGATGGTGGACTCGTCCAAGCCGTTGGGCACGCTGTTTTTCCTCGTCGCGCTCGCCATCGTCGTGTCGTCGTCGATTTTGTATTTTCTCGAACGCGGACGCTGGAACGAGGACATGCTGTTCTGGGAGCGGCCGGTCGCGTACTGGTGCGACGTCCACGTGTCGAGCACGACCGCGATGAGCTCGGCGAGCACGTACAGCGCGGGCGCCACGTCGGACGACTGCAAGTTTAAGACGCTGGGGGACACCGCGTTCTCGGCTGTTTTTTCGTGCCCGTACCGGTACAAAAAGAACCCCAACTGCTCGGGCGAATACATGCAGAGTCCGTTCGACTCCATCGTCGTGTCGTTCTGGTGGGCGTGGACGACGATGACGTCCGTCGGGTACGGCGACATCTACCCTCTGAGCATCGCGGGCAAGTGCGTCGGTGGACTCACGATGTTTTGCGGCGTGTTGGTCATCGCGTTGCCCATAACCATCATCGGCGCCAACTTCACGCAGGCGTTCAACGCGAAGCAAAACGCGCTTCGGCTGAAGTTGCGCGCGGAGCGGGGGGCGGCGTACCACGGGAGGAAGAAGAAGCGCGCCGCGTGGACGCAGGGCGTCGAGCGCGCTTCGAGCGGGAGGGAGAGCGTCGACGCGAGGAGCGTGCGTCTGAGCCTCGAGTCGTCGAAGGAGGGAGAGGCGCCGACGACGACGCCGCCGCCGACGACGACGGAGTAGGAACGACCAGGGCGCGCGGTAGTACACGTAGCGACGCGTCAATATTATATCGTAGCAGAGGATCCATCGACCGCGTCCTTTCCTTTCTATTCCTTTCCGTTCCGTACGTCGCGCGTCCATCGCGTCGCGATCGCGTCACATGATCGCCCGCCACGTCACTCCCACGGCGTCCTTCCGCAGCTTGAGGATTATCTTATCGCGCGTCGTCCTCCAACTGGACAGGTCCCAGATCACCGCGCCGAAGGTCCGGACGCAGTTAAACCGCCGCACTGCGGGCGTTTTCGTTCTCAACTCGTCGTCGGCGATGGTCTCCCCGGGGGGGTAGTACCCGGTCACGACGATCTCGAAGCCTCGCGCGGATTTCTCCCCGAACGTCACGCGCACGTCCGCGCGCGGCCGCGTCGCCGTCGCCGCGGCGCCGACGCCCGGCAGCTTGAACGTGATCGTCAGAAACGCCGCGCCGTTGTCCTCGAAGTAGTACTCCCTCAGCGGGATCTCGGGGGCCTCGTCGCGCACCTCGCGCTTCAGGAGCGTCCCGCCCGCGGGCGGCAACGGCGCGGGGGTTTCTCGCGCGGCGTCGCGCGGCGGCCGCCGCGGCTCGTGCGCGTAGTAGTACGCGGACGACGCGCTCTTCGGAGGCGGCGACGCGCGAGGCGGCGCCGCCGGCGCCGCCGGCGGACGGATCTTCGTCCCGTTCGGCGGCGGCATCGGCGCGGGGAGGTCCGCGCGCGCGGCGTCGTCGTGATGGTGCGCGTAGTAATACGCGGATTCCGACGGCGGTTTCTGACGAATCGTCGCGCGCGGCGACGAGGGCGCGTCGCGCGCCGCCGCCGCCGCCGACGACGACGCCGACGCCGGCGGCGGCGGCGCCGACGCCGTCGCGGCGGTGGCCTCCGATTGAAGTTCCTCGAGGATCGCCATCGCTCGCGCGCGCGGAAGCGACGCGAACCGCGCGCGGGACCGCGGGCGACCGTCCGTTCCGCGCCGCGGGAGGCAAACCGTCGCGAAACAGTATCTCAGGTGCGTTCATACAAAAGTTTTTCACCCATTGCCCGGTTTCAAGATTTGATCGCGTTCCATTTCAACTGACCGGAGAACTGTTTTTGAGCCGCCCTCAGGCGCGCGCGGCCACCTGACCGCACGGCACTCATCACAACCGTTGACCGAATCCAAATCTCGGACGTGCCGACCCGCGGCCGCCGCAGTCGTCTCGGGCGCGGACGGAAGAGGAACGGACGACCGGCGGCATCGACGGCCGGTCCATCCGCTCTTCTCCGATGGCGCCCAAGGAAGAGCCGCCGAACCTCCACGTCGCGCTCGTCGCGGAGATAAAGGCGGACGCGTACTGCGCGGCGCCTACGCCGGATGGAAAATCCGTCGTCCTCGGCGAGCACGACGGCCCTCTGCGCGCGTACTCCACCGACGACGCGTCGAAGCGCCTGCTCGTGGAGCGCGCGCGCTCGGAGACGGTGAACTGCGCGCTCGTGGCGAACGACGGGAAGGACCTGTGGGTCGGCGGCGCGAGCGGAGATCTCACCGTCTACGACGCCGCGCGAGGGACGAAGAAGGTGAAGCCGTTCCAAGCGCACGCCAAGGGGGTGTGGTGCATGTGTCTCGGCGGGAACGGGAAGTTCGTCGTCACCGGCGGCGCGGACTTTGGCGTGAAAGTGTGGAACCTGAACTGCGACGTGCTGTCCGCGTCGAATCACCACAGCGGCGCGGTGAAGGCGCTGTGCTCGTTCGCGGGGGACGAGAACCACCCGCCCGCGATTTGGACCGGCGCGCAGGACGGAAAGACGTTCCGATGGAGCGACGACGGCGACGGCCTCATGGAAGCGGACGAGGGGTCGTTCCTGAAGGGCGTCGGCCAGAGCGGCGTGAGCGCGATATGCGGCACCCCGGACAATACGGAGGGGTGGGTCGGGTACGAGAGCGGGCGGATACGCGTCTTCGATCGCGCGTCCGGCGCGGTGAGAAACGACATGCAACGCCAAAAGAAAACCATCTCCGCGCTCGTCTCGATGGGCGAGTGCGTGTGGTCCGGCAGCGGCGATCACACGCTCGTGGCGTGGAACACGAAGAGTAAGCTCCCGGTGTACTCGCTCCCGGATCAGGGCGGGTTCATACGCGGCGCGATAAGAGTCGGGTGGTCGATGTGGGTCCTGACGAATAAGAGCGTCAGGGTGTGGGCGGCGGAGAGCAACGAGAACGACCTGAAGAAGCGCCTCGGCGACAGCGAGAAAGAGGTCGAGGCGGGCGAGGAGGCGCTGTCCGAGGCTGCGGAAGAGCTCGAGAAGACGTCGGCGCGAGCGGCGGAGGAGAAGGAGAGGTTAGAGAAGGAGTTGGAAGCGTCCAACGCGGAGAAGCAGAGCGCCGAGGCGGAGGCTCGGGAGAATCAGGAGCGCGCGGACCGAATCGCCGCGGACGCGGAGCGCGCCGCGGAGGCGGCCGCGGAGGCGGCGAAGGAGGCGGACGAGCGCGCGGACAAGGCGCGGCAGGAGCTCCAGGACGCGCTCGACGAGGAACGAAAGCGCGCGAACGACGCCGCGGACGCGGCGGAGGCGGAGGCGAAAGCGGCGGCGGAAAAGCTCTCCGCGGAGGCGCTCGCGAAAGCGGCCGCGGAGCGCGAGGCCGCGGAGCTGAAAGAGCAAGTCGCGGACTTGCGCGCGGCCGCGGAGGCTGGCGGCGGCGAGGCTGCGGAGATGGCGAAGAAGCTGAACGAAAAGACGGACGAAGCCGCCGCCGCCGCGTTGAACGCGGCGGCGGAAAAAGACCGCGCGGACGCCGCCGAGCGCGCGGCCGCGGACGCCGCCGCCGCCGCGGACGCGAAAGAGAAGGCGCTCGAGGAGCTGCGGGATAAGATCCAGGCTGAGCTGGACGAGAAGACGAAAGCCCTGGAGGACGAGGCGGATCGCTTCGCGGCGATGGAGAAGGAGAAAGAGGACGTCGAGGCGGCGAAAAAACTCGCGGAGGAGGAAGCCGCGGCGGAGGCGGAGAGAGCCGCGAGGGAGGCCCAAGAGGCCGCGGACGAGGCCGCGCGGATCATCGCGGAAGCGGAGAAGACCGCCGCGGAGATGAAGGCTGCCTTGGAGGAGGAGCTCGACGCCGCGCGCCGCGCCGCGGAGGAAGCAGCCGCGGAGGCGGAGAGAGAAAAAGAAGCTCTGAACCAAACCCTCGGCGCCGCGAACGACATGGCGGACGCCGCCGCGGAAGAAGCCGCCGCGGACCGCGCCGCCGCGGAGGAGGCGAGAGAGGAGAGAGACGCCGCGATCGCGCGCGCGGAGGCGTCGGAAGCGGACGCCGCGGAGGCTGACGCCGCGCGGTTGACCGCCGAGGCGAACGCCGCCGAGGCGGAGCGACGCGCCGCCGCCGCCGAGAAGAGAGCGGACGCCGCGGACGCCGCCGCCGCGAGAGCGACGGAAGCGGCGGAGGCCAAGGTGAAGGACGCGCTCGACGCCGCGGAGAAGGCGAAGAAGGAGGCGGAGGAGGCGGCGCGGCAGCTGGAGCGCGCGAAGCGCGATTTAGACGATGTCGAGCACCGGCTCAAACGCGATCTCGAGGACGCGCGGCGCGACCTCGAAGCCGCGGAGAATCGCGCGCCGAAGAAGAACCACGACGAGTTCTTCGAGATGGAGCGCCGCATCTCGAACCTCGAGGCGGAGCGGCAGGTGGCGGAGATCGAGAAGGAGAAGCTGCGGCAGCTGAGAGAGGCGGCGGAGAACCACAGGCTCGCCGCGGAGGCGAGGGCGGCGAACGCCGTCGCCGAGGTGCACAAGAGCCGCGCCGCCATCTCGCGCATCGCGTCGCTCGAGACAGACCTCACGCGCGCGATCGCGGAGCGCGACGTCGCGGTGGACAAGTACGCCACGGAGATTCGCGCGGTCAAGGCGGAGAGCGATCTCGTGCACGCGAAGCTCGAGGCTGAGCTGGACCTCGCGTTGAAACAGCTCGATCGAAAACGCGCGAAGAAGCGCGCGCACAAGAAGCAAGCCGCGGAGCTCGCGTCTCGGTGAGACTGCTCCCCGTACGACCCCGTTCGCGTGGTGCACGCCGTTCCTTGAGGACTTTTCCCGTCGTCACTCTTCACCCGCGCTTCCCTCACAACGTTTGACCGCTAAGACGTTCGACTGACCGATCGCTTCACCTACGCAGGCTCGCGGACGCGGTGGCGCTCGCGCAGGACGCCGCGAACGGCGCGGAGCGCGCGATCGTCGCGGCGAGGAACGCTGCGGACGAGGAGACGAACCACGTGCTGTTCGAACGCTCGCAGGAGACGGCGAAGACGGCGGCGGCGGCGGCGGCGGCGGCGTCGAACGCGGCGTCGCTCGCCGAGGCGTTGGAGCGTAAACGCCAAAAGAAACGCGCGTACAAGGAAGCCGCGCGACGGAACGGGGACGACCGTGACCGCGCGCAGGCGGCGCTGTCTAACGTCCAGAAGCTGTACGACGGCGAGGTCAACCTGGCGAAACAGATCGCGGTCGCGACGGAGGAGGCGAACAAACTGCGCGCGCGCGTGCGCGAGCTCGAGGCGGCGTTGAAGCAGGCGATGCGCGATTACAAAGCCCTCGCCGCGGATCTCCAGGGCGAGCGCGAACGCGGCGCGGAGGCGGAGCGCACCGCGGAGCAGACGCAGCTCGAGTGCGAGAACCTCGCGAGCGCGCTGAACGCCGCGCGAGGCGAGCGCATACACTGGGAGCACGAGGCGGAGAGCGCGAAGAAGATGGCGGAGGAGTACCTCGCGCGAATACCGCCCGCGGGGAAGCCGTGGGAGCCCGCGATTCCGTTGGACCGTAGACTCGCCGGATGGGGCGGCGGCGGCCAGGTCCCGGTCGCGGTCCGCGAGCAGATGCCGGATTTGGGGCCGATGCCGGTGTTGGACCGTCGGTTGGAAGGGCGCGCGAGGGTCGTGGAGGTTCCGCCGCGGCCGCCGAATGCGAACGCGAACGCGAACGCGAACGCCGACGCGGCGGAGACGACGACGACGACTGCGGACGAAGACGCGGAGGGAGGCGGCGGGGACGCCCCCGGCCCGCGCGCCGCTGGAGGTCGACGGACGCTCGTCGAAATCAACCCGCCGTCGGATTTCGTTCGTCCGGCGGGGATGTCCACGGATGAAGAGGAGCGATTGCGCGCGTTGCACGAGCGGGACCGAGACTACAGCAAGCGGCACCTGGACAACCGGTACGGGAGGCAGATGTGGGACGAGTACCGGTGAGCGTCGCGGCGACGCGCGAGCGGAGCGTTCAGTTAATTTACTTCTCGTCGCGTTGATACGATGCGTAGTCTACGTCATACGCCGACGCGTCGACTCTCCTCCGTAATAGCCCAAATCGACCGCCGCGAATCCGCGAAAGCGCAGACCCCGGAACTACACTGGTCCCCATACGACCGCGTCGGCGTGGTGAACGCCGATCCTTAAGGGCTTTACTTCCCGACGCGATCGATCGATCGATCAATACGGATACCGCTTCCCCTTGGGCATGTACTTGATCTCCGCGGGCACGGGCTCTAACCCCGCGGGCGGGACCGCGCTCAGATCCACCGGGTCCGCGTACGGGTCCTCGAACAACTGTATCACGTAATCCTTCGGCTTGCCCTTCATCTTCGGGTACAGCCGATCGCACTCCGCGAGCACCTGCTCTTTCCTCTGCACGAGCACCGTCTTGCACACGTTTCCGCTCTCCTTCTTGTCCGCGCCCTTGGGGACTTGGATCACGCCGATGCCGTTCCACGTGATGTTGAGCGGGCCCGTGAGCTTCGTGAGGATGTTGTACGTCTCCACCTCCGTGTCCTCTGCGACGACGGACGACGCGCGGCGGGCGAGGGCGAGGGCGGCGAGGGTGGAGCGCGTCGTCAGCGAGCGACGATCGATGGATAAGACCGGGCGGAACGACGGGATGGATGGGCGACGGGGGAGTCTCGCGGCGAGAGCGACGCCTTCGCCGCGGCGCGACGCCGCGAGGAGGGAGGGCCCCGATGGAGGGAGACGCGCGCGTCGCGTCGCGTCGCGCGAGGGAATCGAAGAGGTGGGTGGAGCGGAACGACGACGCACTCGCGAGCCCCGGCCAGCCTTCCGCCTCCGCGGTGATCTCCACCACCTCCTTGTCTTTCTCGTAGTCCGGGTCGAACTCTTTCGCCCACGCGCCCTTCTTGCCTCTGACCACGACGGAGCGGGAGCCGCCGCGGACGCCGCGCGCGGCGGCTCGCGGACGCGCGGGGCGCGCGGTCGCGCGCGGGGCGACGGACGCGGCGGCTCCCGCTCCGTCGTGGTCCGTGGCCAGACGGGCGCGTGGGCGATAGAGTTCGACTCGGACTACGAGACAGATCAGGAGGTGGTGGAGATCAACGCGGAGGCGGAAGGCTGGCCGGAGCTCGCGAGTGCGTCGTCGTTATGCTCCACCCACGTCTTCGATTCACTCGCGCGACGCGACGCGACGCGCGCGTCTC